GACCAGACCCTGGCGAATCCTGCCAGGCACGCTGACAGAGTGGTCTCGCACGGCCCACACCGAGAGGCGTGGTCCCTCCATTCACTCTCCAACTATCCGTAATCAAGGTCTTCGCACTCTGCCACCGGCCCCCCCTCCATCAGCATGGGACATGCCAGAGCTGCGATGGGGCGCATGGGCGTCGACTTGATACAACATCGGATTCACATGGTGATCGTTGTTTTACTCATTGTTTTGCCGATCGGCGCGGGCCCTTGCACCCCCCCTCCCCCCCCTGGAGTGGATCTTGGCTGTTTTTGGCGCCTGTTTCGAGCAGGCGGATTCCCTCCCCCATAGGGCGCACTGTCGCAAACAGTCGCACTAAGCAGAGGTCGGGGGCCAGACCCCCCGCCCTCCCCCCCTTACCGCCCAATGTCGAAACGCCGAATGAAAGAACGCTCACGTGCGAGGACTGCTGGTAGTCGTGACGTTGCGGTGCAAGGGAACGTGGCCTCGTGGGCGCGAATCCAGGCGAAATTTGCAAGGGACCGCCGCCTCGGGGGCGCGAATCTGACGTAACCTACGGCGAGGATTGTGGTTTCGGGGGCGCGAGCCTGGTGTAATTTTAAGCGGATTCTGGCCTCAGGCGCGCGAAGCTGGCGCAGTTGCAAAAGCTTCTGGCCTCGGGGGCGCCAACCTGGTGCAATTCACAAGGGGTTATGACCCCCAGAGTGCGAATCTGTGGTAATTTGCAGTGGGGTCTGGCCTCGGGAACGCGAAGATGGTGTATTGTACACATGCTTCGGGAGCGGGAGTCTGGCGCAATGAACCAGGGATTCTGGCTTCGGGATCGCGAATCTCTCGTGCTTTAACCATGGATCATGGCCTCGCTCGAATTTCGCGTAATCTCAAAAGGGTTGGGTTCTAGCCTCGGGAGCGTGAATCCGGTGTAGTCTACGAGTGATCCTTGCTTTCGGGGCGCGAATCTCAGATAATTCGACGTGTCCCGGGCCCAGTGACCCCACAATGGGGGCCGGCGCAGTCTCCATGTCTTCTTTCTCTGTGCCTCTACTTCCTCCCGATCACACAGTGGAGGCCCATGCCAAGAAACACCCTGCTTGCCTCTAGGGTGCCCTGGGTTTCTTGGGTCTCGATGGTGTTGCTGTGGAAGGCGTGACGTTCGCACAACCAATGGACGTCCTGGGGTCTCAAGGTTGGGTGTTTTTGTGGAAGGTTTCTTGTGGTCGAGCCCCTACTGTATCCCCTTCTCATCATGCTCTTCCGCATCATCTTCTTACATCACCGTAATTTGACTTACCTGTTCTTCTTCTTCCCTCCTCCCCCTTTTTCTCTCCTCCCTCACCTGTTCGTCCTCCCTCCCTCCTCATCCGTCCTGCTCACCTCGTCTCATCCTCTTATGTCCTCCCTGTGGTCGTCCTCCTCCTGTCGAAGTTTCGGTCTGATTGCCAGATCCCAGGGATGTCCAGTTTCCAAGTGTTTCTGTGGGGAGATGCACCTGGGGATGTTCAAGACTTCTTGATCCTCATCTTACCTCTTCTCTTCCTCCTCGTCTCTACTCCTTCTCTCCTCCCCTTCCTCCTCTTACTACTCCTACCCCCCCTCCTCCTTCTCCTTATCCTCGTCTTTTTCCTCCTCTCTCCTCCCTCCCTCCCCTTCGCCCTCCTCCATATACTTACAAATAATTAGCACTACTCTCTATCCCCTGACTCTGTCCAGAAGATGTCCCGCCCTCTCCCATACAGGACGTCATAAGTTGGTCGTTATTGTGTTGTTTCCCCCCTGATCGTATTCGGTCCTTCAAAACGGTATTCCCGCTGCAATTCTGGCTTCATTTCCACTCTTACTTCTTCAACATCGTGCTCCCGCTGCAGCGCTGGTCTCACTTCCGCGTGTTCGGTCCTTCAGATTTGTGTTCCCGCTGTAGCGTTGGCCTCATTGCCGCGCTGTCGGTCCTTCAACATGTTGCTCCCGCTGCAGCATGCAGCCATGGCATGCAGTTCAAAGCCATGGTAGGTACCGCTACTATTCAATTACATGCCTTGCTCTGAAATGTTGTGATATGCAGTTTTGGGCTACGCACTTCCATACCATGCTATAGTGTGCCATGCCATGGCATGGCATGCAAGGCTCTTGTACGTATCGCTATGCGATACCGTTCCTTGCGCTGCAAAGTTATGGCTTCCTTGCAATGTTTGACTACGCAATGCCACACAATGCTATGCCATACTACGGTCTGTCGTGCTCTTATACGCCACATAATGATATGATTTGCATCGCGTACCTTTAAGGGGTCGTTGTCCGTTTCGACATCCGACTGTGCGAATCGAGAGGGGTTCCGTGCAATGGGAAGGGTTGGGAGGGAGGGGCAGGACGTCATATAGTCAGATATGGCGCGAGCGCGCCTAGCTTGCCTTTCTCATCTTTCTCTCTCTCTCTCTCTCTCTCTCCTCCTCTCTCCTCTTCTTCCTTCCTCTCTCCTCCTCTTCTTCCTCCCCGCCCTCCTAATCCTTTCTCATCTCCCCTCATATTCCTCTCCATTAGAACTGCTCAGAATGGCGCTGTGCAGAAGAGTAGGGGTGGTAACGCGCTGGGAGGGGAAGCACCTGTCAAGAGTTTGCCATCCGACCGCAGGAGGAGGAGGAGGAGGAGGAGAGACGGTGGACGGAGGAGGAAGAGGGGTGGGATGCGGAGGTGAAGGAGCAGGAGCACGAGGGAGAGTCGAGCCAGCCAGCTCGAGTGGTCCCTGAGTCCTCGCCCACTTCAACCCTCCCTCGCGATAAGACGAGCACACGTGTCCGGCATGAGCTGAAATTTGTAGAGATCGGACGGGGCCAGGACGAGGGCAAATCCGTTCCAGAGCGTTCCAGAGCGCTCTCAGAGCGCTCCAGAACGCTCCGAGAAGACCACGTCGCCTGAGAAATCTTCCATAGCCGCTGGATCTCAGAGATTCCCCTCCTCCTCCTCATCCGCCTCCTCCTCCTCCTCCGCCTCCTCCTCCGCCTCCTCCTCCGCCTCCTCCTCCTCCGCCTCCTCCTGCTCCGCCTGCTCCTCCTCCTCACCCGAATTTGCCCTCATCCTCCTCCGCCTCCTTCTCCGCCTCACCCGAATTTGCCCTCGTCCTGGCCTCGTCTTTCAGAGGCGAGCCCGCGCTCCCGCCCACGGAGTTCCCCGGGAGGCACTCGCGCGCGCGCGGCCCCGCTCTTCGACGGCCTGGGCGAGCGAAGGGCACGGGCGCCGCCCCGGGCGGGAGCGCACCCCTGGCAGGTTTCATTTCGATTCGATTGCCCCCCCTCCCCCTCTTCCTCC